CCAGGTTCCGCCACTCCCGTCATGGCGGCGGCTTGGTCCGGGCCCCGGCCCCGCCCCCGTGACAAGCGTATCACCTGATCTGGCTGCGGGCTCCGGAGACACAAGGGAAGTGACTGTAGCTGGAGTGCGAGCCCCACCGCCATGCCGTTCGAGAAGACCTTCAAACAGCGCCGCACCTTCCGTGAGTGTGGGAGCGGGGAGGGCGGGCGTCCGGTCCGCGCCCCGACGTGGCCGTGCGGGGCCCGAGCCCGCGGGCCGGGACTGCAGCGGACGTGCGGGGGTGGGAGCGGGGTCGCTGGGCGCGTGGTGCCGACCGTGAGCGCGCCCTTCCCGTCCCCGGGGCGCCCGGGGCGCCGGCCTGCTCTCGGAGCGCCGGCTGTCGGGGCCGCGGGTTCGGGCCCTGGTGTCAGCTTAGAAGGGGCGCCGGGGCAGGGCCGCCCTTGTCGTTTGGTCCCGGGCTTTGCCGATGAGCGGGGTCGCCCACCGGTCGCATGCCGTCGCGGGGCCAGGTCGGGGCTAGGCAGCTCCTGGTCCAGTTTACTGTGCCCCGGGCGGGACGCCGGGCCGGCGATGTTTACAACCTGACTTGTCAACCGGGGAGGAGTCTGGTGGCTTCCACGTGGTCTGAGGTTATAAGATCATGTTTGTACACAAGATACACCAGCCGCCAGCACAGAGCACAAACACACACCGAAAACGTACGCACAGACAGACACGCAGACACGCATACACAGGCAAGGCCGTGTGCTTGCCTTTTACATGACAGCTTAACCCTGGCTGGCTGCAAGTCACCCGCCGGGCGCCGGACACTAAGACACGGGCCCCGGTGGACGGCAGGCTCCCTGTCGTGGGCCGTCTGTGACAGCTGGGGTGACAGGGGAGCACGTGGCCGCTTGAGTTTCCGGTGGTAATCTGCGGCTTAGCCTGGACGCCCGGAGTGCTGGTGTGTTTGTGCTTGGCCGGGCTGCACGGACACTGCTGTCCATCAGCCAGTGTCCATCAGTGCGCGGGGCTCAGGCTCAGCGATCTGTACTGTGCTCCCGCTTATAGAGGCCGGCAGCCCTCGGTGGTCAGCCGGGCTCAGAGGTGCTTTCCTTGTTAGAATTGTTGTCTCTCTGTGACATGTAGTTTTTGGGGAGACAGCACTGAAGGGCTGCATGCTGCAGTATCTGCTCACTTCTCCCACCAGACTTCTTGGTTGTGACTTAAAACCCAGCTGGTTGGTTGCTGGTAGTTAAGTCCGAGGAACTGCCTGAGTCAGCCCTGCAGCAGACGCAGGCTCGAGTAAACAGCTAGAGGCCCGCAGGCTGTTGTCCGGAGACCGCCTCCTCCTTTTCCTTGAAGTGACTGGTGCATTTGTTTGTTTTTGTTTGTTTGTTTGTTTGGTTTTTGTTTTATTATTTTTGTGTGCGTGTACCGTCAAATCAGATCTGACTGGTACAGGAGGAGATTGCCCCTCCTTCCCCGGCAGAGCATCTGGTGGATTTGAACCGTGTGCCTCTGGGATTGTAGTTGCAGCTCCTTACCACTAGGCCACCAGAGCTCCCCTTGACTGGTGCATTTGAACTGCTGACCTTGGAGTTAGCAGACTGCTTCCTTACTGTGCCACCAGGCTTGCTGCCGGTAGTGCCTTGGCTCTGACAGTTTGTGGCAGGCGGCCCTGCAGGTCGGCCCCCTAAGGCCAGCGTGCTGTGAGGTGCCTTTCCTGCCTTCTGTTGGCAGGCACAAGTCCCCCGGGTTAGGAGCAGGATGGGTCAGACCACAGTCCTCGCCGCCTCCATGGAGCGGGGCCTCGGACTCTGACACCCTCTCCAGTGACTCCCTCACCCAGCAAAGGCTGTGTGTGACACACGCGTCCCTTTCCTCCTCAAGGGAACAGGCTTCCCCTTCAGTCCAGGGTTTCTTTAGGTCCTAGGAAATCAGTGCTGAGGAAAAGGCGAGGTGAGTGGAAAAGCTGACATGACGGGGCCCAGGCCCTGCAGCCGCTCCCCTCTCTACTCCAGAGCCCTCCTGCAGAAAATCTCAGCATGTCCACAGGGAGCCCTGTTGTCAGAGAGGTTCCTTGTGTGTCCACTGCTGGCCTCCGTACCTCGGTGGCCTTCTCTTCCCCACTGAGTTTCCCATTAAGAGAACACTTAAAAATGACTGGAAGACATTTATTTATCTCTTTTATCCAGTCATTATTGCCCATTTTCCCCTCCTCACCCTTCCCCAATCCACCCTGCAGTGCACCCCTTGCTTCAGATTGTTCTCATACATACAAGGCATAATTACATACTCTGTTTGGACGGTTCCTCCCCTCTGTCCTGAGGCAGAGTTATCTAGCCACACTTTCCACCCGCTGATGATTGTCTGATTGTATAACAGTGGTGCTGTGCAGTATTTGTCCTTTTGTGACCGAGATATTTCATTCATCATAATGTCCTGAAGGCTCCCCCATGTTTCAGTGCTGCATAGTATTCCATTGTATGGCTGTACTGTAGGTTTCCTAGTCAATTTTGTTTATTGGTGGACACTTGGGTTGGTTCCATCTCTTTGCTGTTGTGAATAATGCAGCGATAAACATGGGAATGCAGACTCTTGATAGTATGTTCCGCATGTTCTAGTCGAGCACAACTCATGGAAAGCCTATGAACAAAAGGCCTGAAGGCCCTCTACAACTATCGACATTTACATTTATCAGAGTTCATAGTTTCTGGAGGCATGTTGATTAGGAAGTGGATCTGAAGAGAAGGCTTTTTCCTTTCTCCTTTGTCCTGCTGTTGGGTATTGGTCCATTTGTGAGGAGGTGTCGTCCGTCTTGAGGGTCTTACAGGCTTGGCGCTCGGTGCCATCGATGGCAGGCGGTCTGTTAATCCTCCAGTGCCAGCGATCTGGGCCCAGAAGAGGCCCAGAGTGGGCTGGAGGAACGGGCACCAAAAGGGATCCTGATGGACTTCATCATAAGGCCCGCTTGGTGGGCATTTGCTCCGCATTCACATTGAACGAGGCTGCAGCAAGGACGCAGCTCTGGTGCACACCTTCCCTCATCTAAACCACACTCTGTTCTGTCCCCTTGTTCTGTTGGGTCACTGCCTCTTGCTATATGTACAGGCCCTCCATGGGTGTGGTTTATTTAATTTTATTTTTATTTTTGTGCGTGTGTACCATCAAATCGGATCTGACTGGTACAGGAGATTGTGCCTCCTTCTCCAGCAAAGCATCTGCATGGGGGTTTTAATGAGGTGCCCGGTCTCATGTGTTCGTTCCTTACTGCTTTTCACGGAGGCACCCCTTTTCTTCTCTGCTTGCTTCTACGTCCTGCACCTCTTAAAAGCTGATTAGAAAGAACTTTCAGGGGGGAAACTGGCGATGGGGCCTGCGTGATGAGTATTGTGGGGTCATCCGGTGCTCTGAAGAGCTGCCCTGAAGATCCTGGAAGCATCCACAGGGCGTGGTCGGTCGCCGCTGTGCCTGGAGCCGCCAGGACCAGAGTCCTCTCGCCTCCCTCCGGGGCTGCGGGCTGACACCCTGGGAAGAGCTTGGCAGGAGGTGTAAGGTCCACACGGTTCCTGAGCACCGCCTGAGGTCTGTCCTGCCCTCCCTCCACGTCATCTTGCAGCGGGCACAGGGCTTGTGTCCCCGCAGCACCTCGTGCCATCGTTGATGATACAAAGGACAGATTCCTTGAGGGGAGGCCTCGAGCCTGATTCCCGAGAGAGTGGCTGCAGCTGACGCAGGGCCGGAACTTGGGGCTCTGCTCGGGGTTCAGACCAGATGACAGCGCTCTCTGCTGCTCTTGAGACAGCCCCTTCCTCCTGCATGCTCCACTGCTGGGAGGAGTAGGGGACCCGAGGGTACAGTGAGTGTCCACACCGGGGTGATGCACCGTGGAGGGGCCCAAGGCTGACGTGTGAGGGTCGTGGGAGGCAGGTGTCCCTCACGGCTTCTCCGCCAACCCATGGCCCTGGTGGTGCTGGCCAGCGGTTGTTGGTTTGCACAGATTTGGCCTTCCAGCCCATGTGTCTGATCCGAGATGTGCCTGCTGACTGTCAAGTTCTTGGAGTGCCATGGCTGCACTCCTGGCACCGCACGGATGACTGTGTCACTGATGCAGCCTCTCTCCCTTTGTCTGCAGAACAAAGAGCGGAAGATGTCCGGCTGATCCGAGAGCAGCATCCGACCAAGATCCCGGTAGGCAACCCAGGCGCCCGGTTGGGGGGCACTTCTGTCTGGAAGCATCAGTGGGACCCCCTACACTCTGACTAGAAGTTCTTACAATGACCTCAGATGAGGTCTGTCCCCCCGCCAAGCCAGCCACTTTCCTCACTTGGGTCGTGTGGCCTCTGTCTCACCTCCCGTGTCAGAAGCACTGATCTGGGAGCAGAGAGGTGAGGGATGAGCTCTGGGACAACTTGGCTCATGGGAGCTTCTGGTTCCGGGAGTCACTGCAGGGAGGTGCTGGCCTGGCAGCAGGGGTGGGGGATGCTCTCTGGTGCGTGTCCCACTGTGGCAGGAAGTGGTCCCAAGGGCCCCGCGTCTGCTTTCCTCGGCCACTGCAGGCCTTTGGAGGGCTGGAGTTACAGGACAGCTCATTCCTGTCTGAATGCTGCGGGGAGCTCAGCACGCTCGTCCTCCTGGTGGGGAGGGTCCTGCCCTCAGCTCCCTGCGGCCACGTGTCCAACTCTGGGCACTCGGTGGTCGCCAGTGCTCGCTCGCAGCACTCTGTCCTGGTCTCCAGATGCGGGAGGAGGCCTCCAGTCCTGCGGGCGCATCCCTCTGCTTTCTGCTGCTCTCACCCTGCGCAGGAGGGGCCACAGAGCAAGCTGATGGGAGGGGAGAGAGGAGAGCGCATCCACGCGTCATCCGCCGGTGCTCCTGGCCTGGTGGGACGCTCAGGACTTGGGGCACAGTCCTGTGCTCAAGGAGTGTGCTGGCAGCTGGGAGATCCTGCCTGGCACGGGCTGGCGAGGCTTCTGAGTCAGGGGTCCCCTCTCCTGCCCAGTCTCCCTCGGGAAGTCTGTGCGACTCTGAACATGTCCTTTTGGACCAGAGCTCTGTCACAGAGCCTTCCAGGAAAATGCTGGCCCACTTTACTCAGCAGAACGTGCCAGGCCATGCTCACGTGTGTGTCCACTCTGTGCTGCACTGGAGCCCAGAGACACACAAGAGGGGTGTGGTCACTGTTTTTCATCAGCGGAACCGCTGACCCAACAGAGGTGTCCCTTCCCGGCTTCCCTCCAGGTGATCATAGAGCGGTACAAGGGGGAGAAGCAGCTGCCCTTGCTGGACAGGTCCAAGTTCCTGGTGCCGGACCATGTCAACATGACCGAGCTCCTCAAGATCATCAGGTACGCACTTAGAGATCCCTGAGCAGCTGTCTTCTGAGGCTCGTGGCCTCACCTGCTCCCACCCCTCCTGTTGGTGTGAAATGTCCAGACTGGCCATGGTCCCTACTTGGTCACCAAAAGCCTCTGCCATCAGTAACAAGGATGCAGACTGCACGAGACGCTTGAGAGTGAACTCTTATTTGACAGCTGGCCTGGTCATGCTGGGGACAGGATCTCTGCAGTATCTGCATGGCCATCCCTGTGGCCTGAGCATCCTATGTCCTCCCAGAATGCTTCTCCTGGCCAGGTGAGAGCGTCTTAGTGTGGAGGAGGCTGCGGTCACCCTCCCTCCCTCCACGTGCTGGCCAGGCTCAATAGACTGTTGCATCAGCTCAGCCATCACCCAGACACTGTGGTCACCCCTCAGGGAAAGGGGACTCTGAGACAGGACCCCTGGGTTTGCCCTCTCCAAAGCCCCGGTTCATCCCCATCCTGAGCTCGGCAGCGTCTGCTCTGCATCCCAGAGGCCAGGGCCGCCCCGGGTCCTGGGCTGCATCCACCACCTGCTCTGTCTTCTCTCCTCAGGAGGCGCCTGCAGCTCAACCCCAACCAGGCCTTCTTCCTGCTGGTCAGCGGCCACAGCATGGTGAGCGTGTCCACGCCCATCTCTGAGGTGTATGAGAGTGAGAAGGACGAGGACGGCTTCCTGTACATGGTCTACGCCTCTCAGGAGACCTTTGGGACCCCTGCCACCGCCTAAGACTCGCAAACGCAGCTGCTCTGGAGTGTCTGCACCCTCCCAGGGGACAGAAAGGGATCGCACCGAGGCCGCCAGGAGCAGTCTTGTCTCAGGCACAGGCTGCTCCGCCAGCACGCTCCGCTTCAGAGAACTGGTATTTAACCTCGCCACTGTTAGACGTTGATGAATAAAATACCTTGCCTTTTTAGTTGCCAATAAACCAGACCTCAGCGTTGTTGTCATGCTGTCTCCCCCATGCATAGGAAGCCACGGCCCCAGCACTCAGTGCTGGCTCAGGTGCGGCTGCTGTCCACTAACCGGCCCCCCTCAGTGGACCATTAGAGGCATACACTGCCTGGCATGGCACCCCAGGCTTGCCTGCCACTGTATCCGGCATGAAACCGGGTAGACGGGGTCTTACTCGAATCCAGCCCCAGCCCCTGCACGCGCTCCCCTACCCCCAGCGTCCTAGTGGGCTGTCTCGGGTCCCTCTCTGAACGGTGACCCGAGAAGAGCACCGCAGCATCTGGAGCGCAGGCTGGCCTCCAAGGAGGAAGGACATGGTCTGTCTCCAGGCTGAGAACACGAAGCAGCACGTGGCCTGCTGACAGTCATCCTGTCAACTGTCTCCTAGACGGGTAGAGACCAGGACGGACACGCACCCAGCACTCACACCCTCACCCTGTTAGGTGTTGACTCATGACCAGTTCTGGGGAGCAGGCCCCTAGAGTACCCTTGGGTGGAGCCCTGCCCAGGGGACCAGCACACACTGTTCAGGGGGGAGCTCCCAGGGACATGGCTCTCCCCAGCCCGCCCCAGCTGCTGCCTGCCTCCAGCATGGGCCCTGCACTCTGACCGAGTGTCCCGCGGCTGCCCAGCGGCTCACTCGTCCTGTTAGGTGTGTGGCCTTCCTAAGTCCCTTTCTGACTGTTGTCAGCCCCCCACTCTTGCATGCAGCTGTCCAGTCACCCCAACATCCTGTTGCCCTGTGTGGACTCCCTAATCTGCTTGTCTTGTTCAAACTCTTGTGACAGCCAATGTTCTTCTAACTTCTGTGTGACTTGTAAGAATCCTGTAAGAAATTGCTTTTCTGGAAAATACCGGAGGCTTGATTTCCACCCTCCAAGATAGCAGAGGTCACTTTGTTATAAGGTCTTTGGAACATTTTTAATGAACTAAAGTGAATAAAGGCCAATACTGTCTGACTACACGGCTCGGTGTCTTGAGGCCTCACCCAGCAGAGGGTCGTGTGGTCAGGTGGGTCCCAGCCTGGACTCAGACCACTCTGAGGTGCCCCGTGCACCTGGAGCTGAGGGGTGAGGGTCCTATGGGGCGTGAACCCTGAAACCTGCTCAGGGCCAGCGGTGGTGGAGGCCGGCACCTGCTGGGACCCATCGCGGGAGTGACTGGACGATGTCATGTGGATGAATGCGTCCATCCCGGGACCCTGGGAACAGTAGTTACAGGTGACCCTTGCATGGGTGCATCAGTGACGTCCCTCCTGTGACAGTTCCCAGGTGACACTGGCGTGGCTCTATCATCCCTCCCGCGTCAGGACTGCTGTTCAGTGTAGTCTGGCGGTAGCAGTGATGGGCCTGTGGACACTGGATGGAGTGCTTGCACTGGCCCTGAGCAAGCCTGGCACCCGCCGAAGCTGGTTGTGTATTGAGACAAGTAGCGGCTGTCAGTCGTGTGAAGTGGTCCCAGCTCTTGCAGGTGACCATGGGCTTCCTGCCTGGGCCTGTGTGTGCATCTGCCTCAGACGCACCCTTGCCCCAGGGGTCCCCAGCTGGGTAGAAGGCACTAGACCCCTGCCTCTGACTGGTACTCTGAGAACACCCTGGGCCTGGACGCACCATCGCTGAGCGGCCATCCACCCAAGGATGGGTATCAGCTACCGAGAGGATGTGGGTCCTGGCTACTGGCCACCACAGGCACTCTCCGAGTTCCTGTCAGAAGATCTGTACAGGACAGTGTCAGATGGGACCCCCATGCCCACGTGGCCCCTCCCCACGGTGCAGAGCGCCCAACAGGCAGCGGGGCTGTGACCAGGACTGAGAGAACTGGGCTGCATGAAGACATGAGCCTCGGTCAAAGCACAAGCTTAGCTTTTTTTTTTAAGTTTTTATTTTCAGTACATTAAATTTACTCATAAAAACATTCTAAAAATGTACAATTTTTCCTTTTTAACAAAGTATAATAAAACATAAAAACCCCAAAAACAATACTTGACATTTACAATTCAAAATCAAACTAGCAGATATTAAATATTTACAAAACTATATCTTTTAAAAATATTTATAAAGTTACATGCAATCTTGTAGAACTGACAAAGAATGGCTCAAAAAATGGGAGGATATTCCTGCATTCCTAAAAAGAGGGCAGGCCGAGAAGCTGTGGGACGCAAGGTCCCCGCACAGGCCCAGAGCTGGTGTCCCTTGTGCATGTAAGAACCGAGATGTGGCTTTAGAAAACGTGACGGAGGCTTTACTAGGACACACGGGGAGGGCCGATGGCCTGACCCTGGACAGTGCAGCAGTGGTGACCTCTGGCCCCAGCCCACAAGGTACCACCTGGAATATTGCGACAATGTTGGTGGGAGGCGCTCACTCGCTCGGGCCCCAGCTGGCTACCATTGCTGCCTGACTCGGTCTCTGGAAGCTGCTGTCCAATAGGGCCAGATGGACAGGCCAGCAGCTGGCCATCTCCCTAGCTACCCTTGACCAGCCATCATCAGATGCTGCCCACATGAGAAGAGTCGGGGGGGGCGCAGTGCAGGAGGGAGAGACCGCTGGGCTGCGGGCGGTCACTGCCCTGTATCTCGGGACAGTCTGTAGTGTAAAGTCACCGGTGAATTATTACAGGAAGGACCTAGAGTTCTAAAGACGGAATAGAATACGGGGCCTACGAACTACGGCGCTCACAAGCTGAGCCTGCAGCAGTCTGTGGGGAAGAGGATGCTGGTATGAATGCCCGCTTGCGTCGGCTGTCCTCTGTGCCGGCCAGCAGTACCTGGCTATCCTTACACACGACTGGGAAACAAAGTACAAACAAGGTAGAAAACGGAGCAACCTGCTTAAAAAACAACAGAAAGGCTAAATTAGCGCTGCCTGGCCGACACGCTTTCACTGCGACCTGTACGCACCTCCCTCCTCATTCTTGGAGATTTAAAAAAAAAAAAAAAAAGTGCGAGAACCCCCGGGAGCCGGCTGGTGACCCTGGCTGAGAGAGACCGCTGGCAGACGCTGGAGTCCCCGAGCAGGCCTCGCTCGACCTTCCTGGAGCGGACAGCACACACCTGGCTCACGGCTGTGACCAGTCACAGGAGATGCCGCCAAGCACGGGCCCTTCTTCAAGCCCAAGGGCTGGGCTGACCCTGGCTGCTGGCTCCACGGGGGCCACGTGGAAGGGCAAGCACCCCGCTCTGACACTGATCCCCGACACAGACCCAGCCAAGATGCCATTCTTGTCCCTAATCTCAGCAGCGCCACTGTGCTGTGATGGGATTTCCTGAAAATACCTCTGTGTGAAGAAAACCCAGACCCAGGCCTTCCGGAGGCCAGCAGCCGGTGTCCACACACTCCGCGGACAGAAGATGTGGCCCAGGCTGGAGTTCTTTAAGGCAAAGCTGCACCAGTTCTTGGTCTGGACGTGTCGGTGGCCTGTTCGCTGGGTCCTCATGCTGTCAGAGCCCGGTGTCACCCTGGAAGCAGACTGGGGACCCTGTGGACACTGGCTGCACGCACACATGGACCCAACGGGGAAGAACAGCGGCTAGGACCGTCCCTGAGCCGACACCCCCCGAGCGGGTGTGCACTGGCGGCGTGTGGACGCTGTCCTCACCAGCTGGCTGTGAGTGCGTGCAGAACTTGTCCCCACCACTGGCTTCACGGTGCTCGGCGACGCCAGGGCAGGAAGGCCCTGGGCTCCCGATGCAGACGTTCTCCCCACTGCGATCCTCAGAGATGGACGCTACGGGGCAGCCAGCCGCTCCTCCTCCCGAGGGACTGGACTCCCGAGGAGGGGCCCGTGGACGAGGTCTCTCTGGGCCTCACTCCCTCTTGTCCACCGAAGTGTTCCCGAGAATTTAACGGAATTAGCTGAGGGTGGGCTGTGAGGCTGACAGGCCCAGGAAGCAGAGGGAGGTCTCACCAGTGCAGCATCTGTCAGTCCATCCTTCTGGGTGCTTGGAGCGCAGGCCGGGGACTCGGGCCTCTTGGAGCCCGGCAGCTGGGTTCTCTGGGACTTGGACCCTCGGAAGTTAAGTTGTTGCAAGTAAACTACCTACTGAACGAAGTTGTTTATTGACACAAACTTACAGACCTGAAACCGCGACACATGTTGGAGGAAGGGGCGCTGGCGCCAGCTCAGGCCGGATGGAGGACTGGACGGGACTCGGGGCCTGTCCGCCCCACAGCAGAGGCCTTCCCGCTGACACTCCTTCCTAGTGCAATCCTTGCAAATCCCAGAGACTGCCGCCAACTGCCGCCGAGGACAAGCGAAGCATGGCCACCTCCCCTCCCTAGGCTCGCCCCAGGGACAGGAGGCGGGAGGCGCGCAGTGGCCTGGCCCTGCTGCCGGCCAGCACGCTCCTGCTGACGGAGACGCCTACCAGGCGAGTCCCAGCAGCAATCTCCAGGCTGACTTGGGTTTTGGCAATAAAGTGGAGCCGTACGCGCTAAGCTAGGTCTCCTATCCAGTCTAGGAAAGTAAAGCACCTTTGGATTAAAGAGCTGGGCGAAGAACGGGGCGCCCAGTGCCTACTGAGTTTCCGTACGTCTCCGTGGCTTCGGCACCTCTGTGCCAGACATCGTCAATCTGTGGAGTCCAGGGTCTCGGCGGGAGGGGCGTACTTCAACCTGAACGTACCTGCCAAGGGAGAGAGCAGAGGTGAGTCTGTGTGGGCAGGCCGACCCAGGGCCACTGTGGGGATCTCTGGGAGAAGACCTGGAACCTGATACGAGGAGATCTACCCCCAGACAAGAGGGCAGTGCGGCCATCGAGGGGACTTCTGGCTACCCTGCAGTCTGACATGCCACCCGGGCTGGGCTGGGCCATGATGGCCTCCACTACGGGGCAGCAGGCCTCTGGGAGGGGAGCTCAGGGTCACTCAGCTGTTTCTTAAGGACCTCTAGAGCACAGAGGATGTCCCCACGGACACACACGTGCACACAGAACGTCCACACGGATGTGCACATGCAGAGACACATGCAGCCTGCCTGCAGGGGACAGGAGGCAAGCAGGAGTGAGAAGGGAACGCAGAAGTGGGGGCGCAGGCAGTTCAACAGCCCTGGGGAGTGGGGTCCTCAGGGCTCACACCTGTGTCCTGGTCAAGGGGCCAGGTCTGATCACAGCTCACCCCCATACACCCACTTCCTTGAGTTGGTTCTGACCCACAGGAACCCTCCACTGGGTTTGGAGCTGTCAATCTTTATGGGAGAAGACCGTTTCTCTTTTCTCCGCTTAACTCCTGATGGATCTAAACTGACTACCTTTTGGTGAACAGACTGATGTGTAACCCTACAACCCAGTAGTTAAAAATACAGGTCATCGCTGGCCAGTGGGAAGGCAGCACGGCTGAACCTCCAGAGCGCTCCCGGGCTGTAACAGGTACGGGAAGAGATGCCCATCTCACGCCCTCACTGTGCTTCCGATGGTGGAAGGCGCAGTTCCCAGGGCCGGCAGCTCAGCTCAAGGGCTCCTCCAGGGCGCCCCCGACCATGGCATCCCTGACCACGGCCGGTCAGCGTGTGGAAGCACCAGGATCTCCGCTGAGGCAGTCAAGATGGCCTCTGCGCCTGCCGGAGCCTCTCGGGCCACCTTCAGGGCCCTGCCTCCTCACCAAGCCCAGGGCAGAGATACCTTGCCGGTTGAAGTCCATGGAGGGCTGCTTGCAGTCCTGTGCCCGGTGGCCGGTGGCCCCGCAGTTGTAACAGGAGAGGTTCCCACTCTTCTTGTGGCCGGAGTTGCTGCCACTGCCCAGCAGCCCCTGGGCCTGGTAGACGCCAGCCGAGCCCACCATGAAGTTCTGCACGGGGGGCACGGCAAAGGTGGACTGGCCGCCTAACACGGAGTCTGCGGCCAGGCCGCCGCTGTACGGGGAGTGGACCACGGGGAAGGCAGAGCCGCCGCCGTACTGCTGGGCGCCCACGTAGCCGCTGCTGCACACGGGGCTGAAGGGCAGGAAGGGGAACGTAAACACGGACGGCCCCGAGAACGGGTGCTGGAAGTAGTTGGCGTAGCTGACGGTCAGGCCGCTGGACCCACAGCTCCCGCTGCAGCCGCAGGAGGTGCAGACCACGCAGCCTGGCGGAGGCGGAGCGGGGGGCGCAGCCGACGGCTGCTGCTGATGGTGGTGATGGTGGTGATGGTTCTGTGTGGACGTGGGGACGCTGCCTGCGGAGCCGCTGCCCCCGCCGCCATAGAAGCTGCTCTCGGGGGCAGAGGGGAGCGTGGGGCTGGGGCTGGGGGCTGGGCAGCTGGTCAGGTTTGTGAATGAGGTGGACGGGTGGCTGCCGGAGGCGGCGGTGCTGCTGGCACAGAAGCTGCCTGGCACGGGGCCCACGGGCACACTGCTCACTGCAGAGAAGGCCACTTTGGTGTTGGCTGTGTACAGCGCCGTCCGGGGGGGTACAATGGTGGGGGGCACGCTCATCTGCACGCTGTTGGCGCAGGACGTCTGCCCGGGCACTGCCGAGTCTGTGGGGACTGACGAGGACATGAGGAGCTTGATGGGTGGCCGGCCCACCTGGAAGACGGCACTGGAGGCGCCCGAGGCCGCGGCGCTCGTGTCCACCACCAGCGCGGGCGGCGGGGCTGTCTTCATCACCCGGTCCAGCGCCGAGGCATGCACGACTTTGGCCCGTGGGCCAAAGGAGACGGTGGGGGACAGAGAGCTGCCCTCGGGGACAGCGGTGAGGACTTGCACAGGCTGGTGGGGAGCGGGCGCGGGCAGCACGTCCATCAGGGCGCTCCCAAAGCCCTTGTCCACTTTGATGCTGCCTCTGGGTCCCGAGACCTTGGCCCTGTCGTCGAGGGACAGGAGCGAGTGCATGGAGGCCGACAGCAGCTTCACGTCTGCGGCACCGCGCTCAGCTTTGTGGACGGAGCTCAGCAGCCGCATGGGAGCCAGGTGGGGGGCCGCGGGCAGCATCTGTGGGGGCAGCGCGTGGTGGCCAGTGCCCGAGCCGGCCTCATTCTGCACCGGGAGGACCTGGGCCGTGGGCCGGGCTGAGCCCGAGGGGAAGTGGTTCAGCAGCATCAGTGGCTTCTCCTTCTCGGGGCCGTCCAGGTGGACCTCCGCACCTGTGGGAGACACTGTATGAGCGTGCTGGCCGCAGCCAAGGCCAGCTCCCGAGCCTGCGTGTCCTTACGTCGGTCACTCTCCTCAGCGCTGTCCGAGCTCTCCTCGCGGGCCTGCACCCCCATCGGGCTGGACGAGGAGCTGGAGTACTCTGACGAGCTGCCCTCCCGGGCCGCCTGGTGCGCCACCGCCTCGACCTCCACGCGCAGCTCTGCGGAGGGGAGAGCAGGGCGTAAGGCTGCACCCACGGCCCCGACACCGGCCCGGCCAGGCAGCAGTCTGAGGGAGACACGCCGTGGGGTCCGCTCCAGCCCCCATCAGCCATTAGTGCTGGGACTGAGGGGGTACAGGCTGTGTGCTCCGGACAAGGTGGGCGGTGGGAAGCCAGTCAGCTCCCCGGGCAGCAGACGTGAGGACATGGGCCCCGGCCAGGAAGGGTCTGTGTTAGTGCTTGCTGCCTGTTCCTCTATGACCTGGGCATTTCGGGGTGAAGGCCAGCCCTCCAGTTTTTGCCCAAATCTCAACATCTCTTGGCCTCCCCTGGCCGAGCACCCAGCAGGGACATGCAGCACGTTTCCAAAAGCAGCGGCAGGTGGGCAGGGCCCGCTGTGGTGCGTGTGGACCTGGAGCCCGGGCCCCGCCGCCCGCCCCACGAGGCCCCTCACTCACCTGCAGCATGAGTACCACGCACAGGCTGCAGGGGCCCCACGTGGCTGGTGGGGGGCACACGCGCCACGCCACTGCTGGTGACTGAGGGGGGGCCTGAGGGGTTCAGGCACCGCTTTTCTGACTTCTCCCTGGGCAGGAGGGGCACAGGACCAGTGAGGGACCCTGCCCAACAGCCCACATGGCCTTGCAACCATTCCAAGGCCCCTGCACAGAGCCACCCGAGGTCCCCACCAAAGGCCCATGTGTGTGGTTTGGCACCGCAGTGCAGGAAGGCCATGGCCACAATGTGAGGACCGCGATGCTGGGGCCGCACCTCCCAGCAGCACCTCTCTGAGCCATATGTGGGAGCCCCCTGCACCCCACCTTCCTGGCAGCAGGAACCACAGGGCCTGCCCCTCACAGTGCACTTACTTTTCCAGCTCCAGCTGGGTCTTCAGCTTCTTCTTGGCGCCCATCGTGAGGGATTCAAACTTGTTCAGGTCTTCTTCTGTAAGGCTCAGAAACTTGGGTGGGAGACACAGGACAAGGCACTAGAACCAAGTCTCTGTAAAGAGCTCGACAGACCCACAAGCTGGTCAACGTCACCCCCAAAGTCTGGGGGTACAAGTGTTCTCTTGCCCAACAGGCAATGCCGCAGATTGGTTCAGAATGGGGAAGGCTGACCCAGGGGCCCTGGTGGGTCCACGTGGGCAGAGAACAGCCCTCAGCGAGGGTAAGGAAGCTGAGAATACACCCCACCCTGGGAGGGTGACAAAAGGAAACATCTGTCACACATCCCCACAAGGAAGCGTGTCCCCCACGGTCACATCCTCACCCCCAGCATGGCAGGATGTGGAGAAGCCAGGACCCCCACTCGCAGCCACGCCCAGGTGTGAAGATGGGTACCCAGAGAGGTGCACACCACTTCCACGGGGCACCGTCTACAAGACCCCAAGAATCAGCAGACACATGGGTCAGGGAGAGGAGGTCTGTGCCCAAGGGGGCCGGGTGACAGAGTGGGCACGTGTGGACTTAACAGCAGAAGGCCAGCAGGACAGTCCACTAAGATGACAGTGCTGGGAAGCCACAGGGCAGTGGGACCACCACGGAGAACAGAACTGAGGGGACGGCATGCAGCACGGTCACCTGGTGAGATCCCACCAAGAACCGAAGGAAATTCTGCTGGGGGCTAGAACGGGAGGCTTGACAAGGTTATCCAAGCAGCACCATTCAGACACGGAAGGACACCTGGTCCATTGCCCAGAGTGGCCTTGGAAAGAGGAGGGACAGCAGCCAGGTGCCCAGACACTGCTGACAGGCTCTGGGTTCTGTCGAGGGCAGTGGGGACAGCGGCAGATGGCAAAGCCCAGCACAGACGTGCACAGCGTGGTAGACGTGGCCCCACAGGGCACGGAGGTTCAGGAGCAGCCACTCAAGGGCAGCGGCTGGTTCTCCCTCCTCAGAACCAAGGGAAGAGACGCAGACACACAGACCCTCTATCCACAGGACGGACAGCTCCCGGGAGCCTCTGCCCCACAGCCCTGAGGGCAGAAGAGCCTGGCAGCTGGCTACCCCCACTGACCAGCACAAGGGGCCACATACAGGGGCCTGGACGGAGAGGTGGGAAACGAATAGAAGACAAAAACATGACAGAGACCAGGCCTGGGCTCGCTCAGTCACCATCCTAGCCTGTGCCAAACTCACCCCATGACTCAATTTTCAGCCACACAGCAGATGCTCCTAGGGTGCTCCCCAGGGGGCCACCCACACCCCAGGACAGTCAAAGGACAGCACTAGGCCAAGGATGAAGCTGTGATGGCAGGAAGGGGAAGAGCCCCAAGGAGGAGTGAGTGTATGGGGTGTACGAGGGGCATGGATAATGCCTGGGACGAGGGTGGTGTCTGTAAGGACTGAAAACGAACATACAAGATGGAACGCTGTGACTGCTGACAGGAAAACCAGTCAGCTTCCCCATATTACACAAAACTCCCTAAAAAGAGACGTCATGGAAATGGTACTCAAGAAGTGTTCACAAGGGACACCCCAACAATGAGAAAGCCAGGCTCTGCTGGGGGAGTGCTGGCCAAGTGGGCCCCTTCAGGCAGAGGCCTGCTCCCACTCACCCCATGGGAACACGAGGCTGCAGGGGGCACTGCCCTCTCTTGAGGATCTGTCCTCAACATCAAGGACCATGGGCAAGTGCAGGGACCTGTCCTGGCCATGAGCACACAGGCCTTTCACAGCAGCACCTGCTGGGAGCCCGGTCAGGGCGCGAGGAGCACAGCCGTACCCTCAACACATGCCATCTCACCATGCAAACTTGAGGTTTCACGTCCAAGTTCAACTGAAGCTTCCGTAATTAATGAGCTTGTCACCGGAAAAAGCACGTCCTTGTTTCGCCCAGCAGAGGGCGCTCAGAAGACAAACACTGCCCATACCTGGTCCACCATCATCTGCCTCTCCATCCACACCTGGACCGCTTTACCGTCCACCTCACTGTCCACACCCGGCCCTCCTCACTGTCCACAACTGGCCCGCCTTACCGTCCACTTCACTGTCCACACCTGGCCCGCCTTACCGTCCACTTCACTGTCCACACCTGGCCCGCCTCACCATCCACCTCACTGTCCACATCTGGCCCCCGCCTTACCGTCCACCTCACCGTCCACACCCGGCCCTCCTCACTGTCCACAACTGGCCCGCCTTACCGTCCACTTGACCATCCACAACTGGCCCTTCTCACCGTCCACCTCACCGTCCACACCTGGCCCTTCTCACCGTCCACCTCACCGTCCACACCTGGCCCGCCTCACTGTCCACCTCACCGTCCACACCTGGCCCGCCTTACCGTCCACCTCACCGTCCACACCTGGCCCGCCTCACCATCCATCTCACCGTCCACACCTGGCCCGCCTCACCGTCCACAACTGGCTCGCCTTACCATCCACCTCACTGTCCACACACGGCCCGCCTCACTGTCCACCTCACTGTCCACACCCACCTGCCTCCCCAGCCACCTCCCCATCCACACCCGGCCTGTCTCACCGTCTACCTCTCCGTCCACACCTGGCCCGCCTCCCCATCCACCTCTGGCCACCCTGTAGTGGCACCTGGACAACATCTGAGACTCTTCCCACGGCTCCCCGGACACACCCTGCAGGCATCAGAGTGTCAGTGGGGATCGTGTGGGCCGTGTGCTAGTCTCTCAAAGAGCCCCCTGGGGTGCCCGGAGTCTCCACTCTGTTACTGGGGAGTCCTTCACCCCGCACAGCCAGTCTCGCTTGAGAAGCAAACAACGCTGTCAAGCGTCCACCCCACAGTGCTCAGAGCAGACTGAACCGTCCAGTGTCCACGGCTATGACCCTGTGGATGCTGACCGACTCGTCCTCCCCTCTTGGAGCGTCTGGAGTCAATCACAAATCCACACAGCTACCAGGCCTTCCGGGGTCCCCTCCACACCCACCAAAGCTGTCACGCCGAGTCCAAGCGGCACGGCCTGCACTGGGGTCCACACCAGGACCTCACAGGGTGGACGGCAGGCGGCTCAGATCACTGGCCTCTCAGTGAGCATCAGCTACTGCACTCCCCCAACCCGGGCTCCTACAGACCCAGCTGCTGTGGGACTAACCCTGCTTCCAGACGTGGGGCCCTGCTGACCCGCCCACCCCCATGTGCTGGAAGAAGCCGGGCGGCCTGAGGGGCAGCAACCCCGCCCATCAGCTGTGGGAGCTCGTACCTTCTCCATGGTCAGCTGCTTGAAGACCGGATAGTACTTGTGCAGACGCAGCTTCCTGAGCCAGTCCAGGATGCCGTTCTGCTCCTGGGTCTGTGGGCTCTGCAGGCCAGAGGACATCAGGATGGCGGGCGAGGCGTCCATTGGGGCTCGGAAGGTCAGCGCCGAGCCGGCGCCCGCTGGGTGAGCACAGTGGGCCAGGCCAGTGGCCGCGTTGGCCGAGTGCTGCACGTGGTGCTGGGTGCTGTTCTGGGAGGACGGGATGCCGGCCACTCCACACACGGGTCTGCGAGGACAGCAGACAGGTGGGAGCACCTGGCCACCAGGCGGGACAGCTCTCCTGCTGTTGCCAGCCCTGCATGGCCTGGCAGCCAGGTAAGGCCATGGGCACGTGGCTGCCCGCCGGCCTACTGAGCAGCATGGTCAGACTCACAGGTGACTGACCACCGTCCCAGACCCTCGGGGAGGGAGGACGAGCGAGCTCGCCTGCCCACAGCCCCAGCGGTGCCCAACAGTGGTTACTGGGCAGGGACCCTAAAGGTCATGGCCCCGCCGGCTCCCCAGGCACGCTGCACAAGACCAGGACAGGCACAGCTGTGCTCCCGCTAGACCTCCCATCGCCAAGCCCAAATGTGAAACGGGAGGGCCTCACCTTCCGGACACGCCCAGCATGCTGCCCACTTTAGAGAGCGAGGGGGTGCTGGGACCTGGAAGCAAGCAGACACGCTGAGGAAGTGCAGCCTGGGATCCCTAAGCCCCTCACCATCCCCCCAGATCAGGACACCTCTGGTCTCCCACCCTGTCCCCTGGACACCCCACTCCCTCATCCCATCTCCTGGACACACTCACTTGGACTTTGAAGCTGTTGGGTGGGAGATGAAGTGCTGAAAAATTTCTTGACATGGTCATTTTTTAATACATGAGCAGGTAACGAAGCCAAATACCTGCAAACAGGAGAGAGGAAGCTGTGAGCACGAGAAAGGGATGAGGAGAGAGCACATCAAGAGAGGAAGGCAGAGCCTCGGGACACCTGCCAGGGTGCCCGGTGGGATGGGCCAGCTTGGCATCTCCACAGAGGCATATCCGCGGTGCCAGGACAGAACCACAGGCCCCAGACACCTCCTATCGGCCCAGCGGCAAGCAGGCTTACCCTCTGAAATGGCTAGGACACTCCTCACACCACCCTTCCCACCGCCCATGTCTCTCCGGTCCCGTCACGCCCCTTACTGAGGAGATCCCAAGGGCAAGAAAGGCTCAAGCCATCGTGACTACCGCGTCCACCCCCATCACCAGACCCCAAGGACAGCCCTCACCTCAGCTCCGTGTCCAGATCCATGTGGCTTCGCTCCAGGTAGAAGGACTCCGGGCCGGCCAGGCATGGCGGGAACTTGTCCAGGTGCTCCTCGGGGTGCAGCGCAGACAGCTGAAAGGGACCAGAGCAGCGGGCTGGGACACCCGGCGGTATGGGCAGCCTGGCACCGCAGGGGCAGCTTCAGGACCAGACACTTGGCAGAGTGGAAGCGGGGGTGACCTGGACTAAGGGCACTGCAATCACCTGGCCACTGCCTGGATGTGGGAGTGACATGCTCATGTAATGGCTTGGGTGTGGGCATCAGGACCAGGGATGGACAGAGTCAACAGAGAACACTCCCAGCAGAAGATGGGGAAAAGCCGGGCCAGCTACAAAGTCAGCATGCCCAGGCCCATCAGAGAGGGGCCCAAGGCTACCAGGAGAGGCAGGGCCACACAACCACCTCTGCCGGGCTCCGAGGGTAGCCAAGTGCATGGATGCAGGGCAGGACCCACCGTGGAGGTGCACCTAGCGGGTGTGCCCACTGCCCCGCACGTGTTTCTGTGGGGAAGGGGCCAGTGACGAGGCCTGTGTGTTTCCTAGACCCTCTCTCTCATCAGACAGGAGCTGTAAGCACTGGGGAGGGGGCGGAGCTGCCGGACGGAAGATGGAAGGTCAGGGGCCGGATGGGCAGAGGGGCCTAAGCCCAGCAGACCGTGAGGCTGGCGCAGGCCCTGGGACTGGCCGCAAGTCCTGTTGTACGCAGGGCTGCTGTGAACTGGAACTACTCAATGACACCTAACAAGACCCCGAGCCTAAGCCGGGGTGCTGAGGGAGGCTGAGCTGGGGAGATGCCCTCGTTTCTGGGGAAAGGGGCAGGAGGTTTGCTACCAGTGGGCCTGAGACAGAGACCCAGGGCTGTGGGCAAGGTGAACGCAGACTCCCTGCCTGGAGGAGGGACCCTCTCGGGCCCAGGAACCTGCAGAGATGGAGTGCCAAGAATGGCCCCTGTGGAAGCTAAGGGCCAGGGCCCCCCAGAGAGGACAGGATGCTGAGGGTTGGCACAGGACGAGGACCCACACGCCAGGCTCGGCCGCCTCGCCAAGGAGACCAAGGCCTGTGGGCGTCTTAAACCCCAGACCTGGCTCGTCGCCAGCCTCAGCAGGCGGCTGTGAGCACCGAGACGGGGGGTGGCAGCACAGGGCACAAACACGCCTACCGATGCCTGTGTCTATCTACACACGGTGCCGGCAATCCACCATACCCACAAGACATGTGCGTGTGCGCACACAGAAGACGCCAAAGCGCTGCCGGGAAACAAAGCCCGCGGCACAGCCAGGTCCACCTGGGAGGACTCTGAGAGCAGCACGCATTCACGCAGCGGGCGGGCAACAGGACTCTGCTGCAGGTAGGACTCCACAAAAGGGCGCAGACACACAGAGAAGAAAACCTCGTGAGGACAATGCAGCCCAGCGGCCGGGCACAGGCGAGCACAATGCCAGGGACCGTCACGACGAAAGGCAAAACCACCTCAGAGCCACCAGGGAAACAATCCAACAATGTCACTATCAAGGCCAGAAAACCTGCTCAAGGTCATGCGTCAGCAGCTCGAGCAGTACCCAGATGCTGCCACGTCCATGCTGGGTGTGGAAGAGGCCAGGGCACTAGGGTTATCACTGGTGTCAGGTGGAACTCGGCAGAGGGCAGAAAGGACCAGAAGGATACCTAGCTGCATTTGACTGACTCCTGAAAGGCATTTGTGTGGCTTACAAACTATGGTGAACGTGGAGAGGACTGGACATCCAAAAATACCCCACTGTGCTCACAGGAAACCAAGACGAAGCAGTTGTAGTCTCAAGAGAGCAAAAGAACACAGCAAGGTTTAAAATCCACACAGGTGTGCGCCAGGGCAGTAACCTTTCTTCCTATCGATCTGTACACCGAACAAATCCTCTGAGCAGCTGGACTTGAAGAAGGATGTAGCGTGAGGACTGGAGAAGACGCCTAACCCGCACTATGCAGATGACACAACCTCGCTTGCTGAGAGTAAGGACACTCCTGAAACACTTGCTGCGGAGGACTCCACCCTTCAACCTGTGTTACAGAAATCCTCACCACTGCGCCAAGAAGTCACATCGTGAGACATGGAGACCAGCTCTGTCAACTGTTTAATCTTGCTTGGATCTACAATCAACATCCTTGGAACGAGCAGTCAAGACATCAAAAGATAAACTGGACAGGGAAAAGGTGCTGTCAGGGACTACTCCAGAGTCCTAAAGAGCAATGATGTCAGCTTAAAGACTAAGGTGAGCCTGATTCAAGCTATGGTTTTCCCCATTACTTGCTAAGCATTTAAAAGTTCAACAATGACTAGGGATGACTGAACAACTGATGCCTTTGAGTTGTGGGGTCGGAGCAGAGTGCTGAACAGCCAATGGACTGCCTCCAAACCAGACAGGTCTCTCCTAGAGGAAGGGCAGCCAGAGTCCTCTCTGCAGGCAAGGTTGTGAGGTTCTGTCTCTCATACTTTGGGCATGCTGCTGGCAGGGGCCAGTCCTTGCAGAAGGACATGATAGTGGATGGACTGACTGTGACCGTACAACAGGCTCGTGTGTCAGAGATGACGATGATGGCTCAGGAGAGGACGGGTTCAGATCTGCTCACAGGGTTGCTGTGAGCTGCAGTCGACTTGAAGCCACCCAACAGCTACCATCAGGTCGGCCATGCCTCACAGCACCCCTGCAGACAGAGCACAACGGTCCGCGGGCTCCAAGGCTGGACATTTTTATGAATGCAGATGGCCTCATCTTTTCTCTTGGGGTAAGCCGGGAATTCAAATGGCCAAATTTTTGGTTAGAGAGGAACACAGTGCTTGACTGACAGCAACCGCAGCGCTCCCGCACCACCAGGCTGATAGATCTAATCCAGCACCACGGAGCGGACGGGGGGCCTGGCCAGAGAGCTTCTCAGGCCGTCGCTCTTTACAGATGCGGACCGTCTCAGCTTCTTCTGAACGGCTGGTGGGTCGAAAGCATCAGCCTTCTGGTCAGTAACTCGGTGATTAGCCCACCAGCTACGTGAATCGGCACTGACTCAGAGCTGACCCTCCAGTGGGCCTTCGAAGGCTGCACACTGCACAGGAGGAGATGGCCGCTCTTTGTCCTATGCAGTGTCTGGAGGATCTGAACTGTGTGCCTTCGGGTTGGCAGCGCAGCTCCCTACCCACTAAGCTACCAGCCTACACCATTAGAGCACCTCTAAACTTGAAGACAGCAACAGAAGTGATCCAAACTGAAACACAAAGTGAGGAAAGGAAGACCCCGCCAGCAGGAAAGCAGAGCGCAGGACCACAGGGCCCATGGACGTGTGGCTCACAACCTCCGCAGGCCTGACGGTGTAAGAACGGAAGGGTCACCTGGGAGGCGCTCAGTCATGGGGGCTGCTACAGATGCATGGCCGGGGCCTGCCCTGCGGCTCCAGACCCGCCCGTCACACTGCACGCTTCCCAAGTGGAAGGCTTCCCCCCAGTGAAGGCTTCCCGAGTGACGGTGCAAGCAGCGGTGGGCCGAGCCCCTGCCAGTGCCCTTCTCCAGGAGGACGCGCACACTCTGGGATTCTGGGTCCCATTCGCATCAAATGCCGCCTGGTGAGCCACAGATTCAAGGAAAAGCTATACGTAGAAACAGATAAAGGTGGAACTGGGTGGCCGTTGTGCGGGGCCGCTCTACCCCTGGGTAGATCCGCACAGATGCCCTCGTCACACCCCCTTCTCTTGCCAGGTGCTGGCTGGGAGGGGCGACCGAAAGCAGCAGGGACCAGTCAGGAAGCACAGTGACCCGACGAGAGGGACTGCTGGAGCTTTTCCTCATGGGGTCTGTGGGCCACTTACCTTTGAAATCAACTCAGTCACTTCAGAGGGAGATTTGGTTACTGATGTTACTGAAGAATCAGACCACAAGACCTTAAAAACAAACAGACAGGCAAACCTTACAGCCAGCCAGCACACGCTGACCCCAGGGCACTCGTCATGTCACCACTCCCTGACCCTGTGACACACAAGATGATGTCACCACACACTGCTGCCCCCAGGGCACTCGTGAGGTCACCACTCAATGACCCTAGAGCACTCGCGCCTCAGCTAGGGCCGCTTAGCACAAGGTGTGCACGTCCAGGGAGTGTCCACACACTGACTTGTTCAAAGGGGCGTGGACACACCCCTGTCCCTCAAGCGTGGTGTCTGAGTGGACCCTCCATGTCCCAGGTCAATCGTGCGTGCCCAGCACTGCCCTCCAGGTCCCACCTCTCCTTGGGGAATCACCTGCCCACCAGAGGTGCCCCTGTGAGCAGATGCACCACAGCCCTGAGGGAAAGGCCTGTCAGACACATCCCAAGCCTCTTCCAGCTGAGGGAGATGGAGAGATGAAGGCTGGTCACTGACTATCAGCGGTGCCCAAGGGCACTTACAGAAGCACGTGGATCAGACAGACAGCGGCCTCAGCAGCTACTGTCTACAATCTGGAGGCGTGAGATGCACATGAGAAGACCAGAGACCCCAGGGACACCTAAGCCAGCCTGTATGGAGCAGGGCCCCTCGGCTGGACGGCCACCATGCAGGTCCCAGCCGCTCACACGTGGGATGCAGCCCTCCCAGCGTGTCTCTGATGCCACGTCTCCATTTCCACGGCACTGTCACCTTCAGTGACCCAGAACCAGTGGGAAATGGCTGTCAAGTGTCCCCCGGGAACAGGAACCTTGTACTCAGAGGCTGAGCTATCCCTCCAAGTGGCTGTTCCTCCTCAGGTGGGCAGGTGGACTCAAGAGCCAGCCACTGCGCTCGGCCCAGCGTCCACATAGGGAGTGAGACCTGCACGGGGCACAGGCAAGCCCATCACCCAGCCGGGGGCTCAGCTGCCTCCATGTTGGCCGAGGCCTGACTCCCAGGCCAGGGCCGGGCTCCCCGACACCGGTCCAGCCCGACCCCTCAGCCCGGAGCGTGGCTCCCTCGTGTTGGTCCAGCCCGGTGCAGGCTGGCCCAACGGGCTCCTTGCTCAGTTACAGCGTCTCCTGGCGGTGAACACTGTCTGCCCACTCCTCAGAAGCGACAGGTTAAAATGGCAACACAAAGACCTTACCTCAAACGAACACTCAATGTTCCTGTCGTTTTTCGGGTTTGATAAACCCTTCAGGTCTATTTTTTCAACGCTCACTGCAAAAATGAAAAACAAACAGCGAAATTACAAACAGGAAGTGAGGTCTCTAAGGTGACCGGGCATTTGACAGTTCAGCTCTCGATGGTACGGAGTCACTAGCTAATTAGTCTGCAGGCCTGTCATCAACGCAGCGGGACCCAAACAGGAAGGCGACAGGCAGGCCCGGCGAGTCCACATCCAAGTCAAACAGAAAACACGTGTCAGGAGAGAGTGTACAACTCTCCAGAAATCAGCTCAGGTCCACGACTGACTGGCGGCAGGCGTGAGGGTGCGTGTGCGCCCCGTATCTGAATCTTGAGGGGGCAGCTCCAGGGAAAGGGGGCGGGAGAGTAAAATGGGAAGGAGGCAGCTAGCCGGATTTCTATTTAAACCGAACAGTAAGCGAAGATGAATCAGCAACGACAGAGGTGTTCCAGGGACGTACGGGGATGGGGAACGGCCGCTGGGGACATGGGCCATGCTGTGAGCTCCCAGAAAGGACACCGTGAACTGACGCCACTGACAAGAAGCCAGCACCGTGGGGTACCCAAACCAGACAGAGGCTGTCGAATGGACGATGCCACCCCACGGCCCTGCAGGATGGGAAAGGTCTGCCCATGGGTCTCCAGGGCTGCAGACAGACAGACACACACACACTGTTCCCCGAGAGGGGCAGGGAAGAGGTGTTCTGAGCGCTGACCCTTTGGTCAGCAGCCCAGTGGACCAATCACGTGGGTGCTTGGCCACTGTCACTGCCCTCCACGGCAGACATGAGGGCTGTGGCCGTGCAGTCTCCTAAGCCGCGGACACTGCCCGGGTCTCTGAGGGCGCACTGCCCATCGTGTCTCTACACCCACCATGTGCACCTGCCAGCTTCGCCCTCAGGGCTGGGGATCCCCCACTAGGGTTCCAAGTCTGTAAACGCTTATGAGAGGAGACCACTGAGTGTTCTCCATGGAGCAGATGGGGGATCTGAACCGCTGGCCTGATGGTTAGCAGTGCAAAGCATTAGGGACTTCACCAGAGGTCCCAGACTCAGGAAGACTGAACAGGGAAGACACATATCTTAGGAGACAGCAGAAGCCTTTAGGTTTAGGACTTTTCACTACTGATTTTTTTTTCTTTTTCTTTCTTTCTTGTGTACTGTCGAGTCAGATCCGACTGGCATAGGAGGAGACTGCCCCTCCTTCTCCAGCGGACTCTCTGGTGGGTTCGAACCGCACGCCCACATGCCCAGAGTATGTGAAATGGCATTTCAAAGACCTTGCCTCCAAGGAGCATCTTGGTTTCCCCCTCTCCAGGACAGACCTGCTTGCTCTTTTGGCAGTCCATGGACTGTTCAGTCCTCTCCAGCACCACGGCTCAAAGGATTCAGTTCTGTCATCTACAAGGCACTGAGAAATGGTGGCCTGAGACAGGCTTTGCTGGGAGTTGGAACTTACGGGGAGCACCTCCCAGCAAGCTTGAGATAGCGCCTTGTAGAGGCCTTCCAGGTGGGGGCCTTCCAGGTGGCGGCCTCAGGCTGCAGCGTCTGAGGCCTTCACGGGCCTTTGCTCAGTGCAGGATGCCAGCTGATTTCCTGGCTGCTGCTTCCATGGACGCTGATTGCGGGTACAGAGAAAGTAAAAGCTCCTGACAACTTCCTCATTTCCCCGTTTATCATGGGGTCCCCTACAGTGGTCTCGTGAGGGATGGGGGGTATTTCACTTTTTGGATATTTTTGTCACTCATATGATTTTTGTGTTCTTGAAGTTGCGGTGTGCTTCATCCTGAAGCGAGGGTCTGTCCTCTGTGTATTGCAGGTTGTTGTTCAGTCTTCTTCCTGTCCTGATGCTGTGTCTTGATGTAGTCTGGATTCTCAGGGTTATTTGCTCAGCAGAGTGAGTGGATCTGGTGAGAGGACCCATTCCTGATGCACCTCATTCTTGATCTGAAATCTCAGAGTAGCCTCCGCCCTCCCTCTGTGCAGACAGCGGCTTGTGTTTGGGAATGCCCATCATTCTCCGTTTTATCCACAGTTTACTATGACCCCACAGGTGAAGTCAGTCACATACAGATAAACAGCTTTCTGGGGGGTCTCTGCTGTCAGCCAGGCTCTGTCTGAAATGAGCAGTGCTGTAACCCTCCTTCCACATCTTCTTCTGAAATCTGGAATCTTTCCTGGTCATTGCCTGTCCTTGGAGTATTTGAAATGTCCTAAACCAAGGGAGCTCGGGTGGCCTACTGGCAAGAAGCTGCACTGCAGGCTGGCCCAACGGGCTCCTTGCTCAGTTACAGCGTCTCCAGGCCCTGAGAAGGGAGAACACCGCCATGGACGACAGGCTGTGAGAGCGACACTCCTGGCCTCGAAGAAGCGCCCGCAGGTTCTCCTTAGAGGCAGCGGTGTTGAGAGCGGGGCTCCCACCCTTTGGGGGTCAGTCCCTGGGAAAAGTCAAGCAACTGTACAGTTCTTCCAGCTGTGGTCTTTGTAACGCCGACCATCAAGCAGCCCGGACAGTGGAAATGAGGTGCTGTTGGGCCCCGAAGGGACTGTGTCGCTCGCTGATGACTTAATGAAGCTCCCTCGGTGAGATCATGCAAATAAGGTGGACAGAACACTGGCCAGCGGACTGGTCAGCTGAGCCACCCCGAGGCAGACAAGAGCAACCCTCAGCACTGGCTACAAAGAGCAGCCGGGAGCGCTGGCAAGGCTTTGGGTCATCGAGTGCCCCTGTGCCAAGAACCTCCAGGGGACAGGGACAGAGATGGGGACGGGGACAAGACAGGGCTCCAACTCCAGAGGTGAGGACAGTGAGATGCAGCCAGGCCAGAGAAGGCACAGTGGGCAGGCCTGGGGGCAGGTCTGGGCTTTGGGAGACGGCCTGCGGTGCAGATGTGGCTGGGAAAGGCAGTTCTGGGCGAGAGGCCGCGTCCCAACCTGCTCCTCCCTGTCTCCACAACCTCGGCGCTGGAGTCCAGCGTGGCCACTGCAGAGACTGACAGCGGTCAGCAGGAGTGGAGTGGCATGGGGGGTGGAGGCGGGCTGGCTGGTGTCAGAAGTGGGTGGACAGAGGAGGCACGACTGGCTTCAGAGACGTCAGCTCTGGGCTGGTCAGAGGTGCTTTCTCCTGTCTTGTGCGGTTCAAAGCACGTGATGAAGGGTCAGTGATCCCCAGAAGCTGGATGGACACCGAGGTGCAGTGACACAGAGCAGGGTACGGCAGCCAGGCCAGAGCAGCAGAGCATGCTGGGAGCTAGAACTGAGTGGAGGCCGTCTCACCACAGCATGAACTAAAAACAGCACTTTGCTGGAAAGAATTCCTTTGAAAAGTTAAAAAAAGTTCTTGTGAGACAAAGCAGCGTGGTATGCCCAGCTGGCGGGACCCCCCGCATGCTCAGATCTCTCGGGGGTCTCTCCTCACTTCCAGTCACACCGGCAGCACATAAACGCCTTCCGTTTCTCCCCAACCAGAATTCTTCTACACTTGCCCACAATGACATCACTCTCACTCCTGTCTCCCAGGGCTCTGGACACAGAAAAAGGTGGTCAGCATTTTCCCTGGCCACTGAACACCCATGGGCTAGGACTGAGTAATATCAGAGTGCACAGAAAAAAACTAAAAGCCCATCTGGTCCGAGAATAGGAAGTGAGTCAGATCCAGACAGGAAAACCCGAAGCCCAGACAGGCAGCGCACCACCGCCCGCAGAGCAAAGAGGCGCTCTGGGCTCCAGAGCCCCCCAACCAGAGCCCCCTCTGCAGAGCTGGACAGCTCACCGTGCCGTCCCCCACCACCCACAACGCTGTGTGATCCAGGCAATCTGGGTCAGTTCCGTGGACCCCCACTATCCACTGACACCATGTGACCCATGTCACCCTCTGGACAGCGCACTGGTCCTGTGTCAGCTGTGTGCATCTCCACTGTCCACGATGCTACCTTACTCCTGTCTGTGTCAGCTCCATGGACCACTGACGCCATGACCTGGACAGCGCGCTGGTCCTCTGCATGGCTTCCACCACGGCCAGCAGAGCTCTGGACCTGGCCAGCTCCTGCCAGCTGTCCTAGCACTTCCTGAGACCCTGCAGTGACAAGCTGTGGGACGAGCACTGAGGCCCGGCGAGGTGGTGAGGTGACTGCTGCACCTACGCAGCCTGTCCCACAGCTCGCTCTTGGGATGGTGCCGGGGAGGCTGTCAGGACAGTAAGTCAGTGGGCACTCTGAGCTTTATGAAGACCACGGTTATAAAAACAAAAGCAGCACGGGAAACACCAACTAAAACATAACAAACTGAAGTTCACATGATTACGGCCTCACTGAAAATGTCAAAGACACGCTGTTTTGATGGTTTCAGGAATCAAAAACGACACGGTAACCGGGTGCTAGCAGCACTCGCACCCCAAATCTCCCCAGCACGGCTGTGCTTACAAAACGCAGACACGCCCGCGCCCAGATTCTAATCACGGCCCACTGTGAGCCCGCTGCTGTTCTCCAGGCCAAGTGGACCCTGGCTCAGAGAACCCACATCCGGGAAGAGCTGCCTACGGAGTGGTCTCTGCTCAGGAACCTGCTGACTTCTAACTGACCGCCTTCCTGCCCACAGCTGAGAGCTGCCCCGCGATGCCCCCACGGGTCCTCACTCCCTCTCCCCTCCCGCTGCACTTTTCCAAAGGCGCCTTTCCAAAGGGATCGGGTACGGTAAGTGGGGAGCAGGTTGCCTCCTGCAGGACAAGGCAGAGCCTCAGGGCCTTCTGGGCAGCTGAGGGGCTCACTCGCCAGTGGCCACCTGCATATGGCCATGGTCAGGAGGCTGACTGAGAGGGAAGAAGCAGGCTCCCATTTGGGGAGGGAACTGGGGCGTAAGGGGTCCAGGAAAGTGCGGTGACTGCAAGGCTGGGTCACGGGAACAAATCCCAACAGGAAGACACATTTTTCCTTTATCAAATTCTACCTGGTCAGATTTCTTCTCAGTCAAGATGTACAACAGGGATTTTCCTCCACTCTCACAAGTTACTTCACGAAACCAGCAACAATCTACAAC